TCTTCCTTCTTTCCTTGTTAAGGCATGATGCTCTCTAGTAAAAAATCATTTCCGCCAACATCACCACCGCTAGCCCCAATTCCATGTCTCATTACAGCCGCCAACTCTCCAGCCTTGCCCTTTATCAATTTGGTTGCCTCGATGTTCTTTTCTGCTCTATTAAGGTGCGTCGATAACACTCGATGGGTCAACAATTCAATCCGACATCAGAACAAAACGAGCGCTGGGAAATAAGTTGATGTATGCTTGATTGATATGTTGAAATGTTTATTTTGATTTGTGGAGAGCAGGGCCGTACGAGAGATCAGGCCCGTACGAGAAGCCTGCGAAACGCACTTATGGCGGGAACCATAGGGATATTTAAGCAGTGCGCGCCAAGACCTGCATTGCCCACGAAGGATCTCACACCAGATATCGTTTTTTGTCTATCTCATGCGGTTGCCTTGTTGAGCTTTATTTCGCTTCGTTCTTTTGTTGTTTCCTCGTTGTTCGTGTTCAGTAAAGTTTTGTTTTGATTTGCTGTTCTTGAAGTACCGGCTTTGGAGCCGTGGATCTCCATCGCAGAACCCGGAGAGGGGTACAGATTATGCTTATTTTGTGGAAATGAGATAATGGCTGATGCCGATGCCGTCTGACATTGCAGAGGCTCGTTTCTTTCTTTGAATTGCTCATCTTCATATTTACTGAAATGTTTTTCCACAAATCATGTTTCTTTTTCATCGAAATAGGTGTATTGTTTCTATACCATGTAGAATGGCGAAATGGCTTAATGGTTTGATAAAAAGATAAATTTGCCACGAATTGTTGAGTGCACAGGTAGCAAAATGTATCAACAGTTTCTCAGCTAATTTCAAAATTCCGGACTTGACAAATATGTTACGGCTTATAGACATTTTCCCTTCGAATAGAAAATTTTCGTACTACAGAATCACCTATTTGAGAGAAGCTAAGGATTGCTCTAACAAAAATACACTGAATTTCGTATTCTAAATTTCCAGCTATGGAGTAACCACGAAAATTGCGTACAACTGTCTGGTACAGTGAATCCATACGTGAGCAAGTTAGGGGTTTCCAAACTTTTCTAGACGGAGATACGATTTTTTCGTCTTTCTAGATATTTAGCGTCTTATTTGGCTCCAAACTTCACGCAAATCAAACCTGGCGCGACGGCTCGAACTTCATTTTGTAGCGCTTGTTTTGATCTATCTGACGGTACCCCATTTACTTACTTCTGTGCTCACCCTGCCGCGATATTGCACGATGAAACACGATGCGACATTATTTTCCAGAAAACCTAATATTATAGTTCTGCGTAGTCGATAAGCAGTTTGAAAAAGCTCATGTACAGTACTTTTGCATGGGATTAGTGTAGACAAAGTAAGACGGCGAGGTTATGTACTTATAAACTTATAAACACGAAAAGCAATCTGGAAAACCTTAGTCGCATGATTACATGATTATATATATAAGGGGTCCTAAAAATGTGCACATTGTTTGATCGTTATCAATTTTATTGCAATAATTCTTTTGCCGATCTCTGAGTACCATTCGACAGAGCTGGCATACGCTTAGATTTACGGTATGGAGCGGATCACGGATCGCCCTTCGTTACTGTAGGACCACGGTGGGAGGCTCGAATACCGAACCATTGTGAAATAGGTCATTCGACAAACCTTTCTTTGAATAATGTGTATTGTCAGAAAATCCAGGCATGCTCGTTTCATCGCACACTTTCTACGAGTTTTTTTTTGGCTTTTTTAATGATGTAATCACTTTTCTGAAGAAAATTACAAAGACATGTGTTACGATACAATTACAATAAAGCGCAAATCGCATATGTAGGTAATTAACTTTTATTTGCTCTTCCTGAGGCAAAATATGGTTTCAATAGGAAATCTCATCGAAGTTCTCACCGTAATCCTGCGATAATGAAGAGAAATCGGCAATTCGCTCCATACTTTGAATCTAAGTTGGTCTTTTTTTACAGAATCATGCCTAAAAATCGAAATCAAAAATCAATCCAAAAAAGTCATTAGCTGTCAAAAAGTGCGACGTTCGCCCCCTCCCTTCTCGCATCTACTCCATTTGCTTATCAATGAGTTGCAGCAGTACGTACGAAAAATTAACACAATAACGCAACACGACTTGCTTTCTTGTTTGCTATGGAAAGGGTGCTAAAAGTAAGACTGAACATTGATGGCTGACTTTTTTGAAATAAATCTGTAGGTTTCCGAAGTAAATTATAGAAGACCAAGAAAGAACCGCTTCTGCTAGACCCCTGCTCTGTCTCTAACCAAATAATTATTTCAGTAAAGCTTAGGAGTCAATGATAAACTTGTTGCTGATCGGAAAAATTCTGCTATGGAATATAAATGGGGGGGGGGGGCTATGTACAAATCTTCACTCGGTCGCTCTTCTGATAGAGAAAAGCTTGGAGAAGTACTTGAATAGGCATACAGATACCTCCGATGAGTGATTAGGAACTAGTAAGTAATCTCATGTTTGCAAAATTTGACTGAACTCCTCCGCGATAGCTATGAAAAATCAAACCATCTACATGGACTCTATGAACACAACCAATTACCGTTTTTTATTTTCGTATTGAATTTTGAAGGCAGCAAACTCTAGTAGCTCAAGTAGATTCTAAGCAAAGAAGCAGATGAAAAATCCTAGATCGGTTTCGTTGAGATCCATTCCGCAACCAATCCAATCGTAGCGGTGAAGCATCTGAATTGCTTATCATTGTAAAAAATTAGCAAATCAAAACTATGTGATAAATCTCGAAAAGATTAGTTTTGGAAAGCGGATGCGGACTTTTTCGACTTTTGCTAGTGTTATGAAAAAATTACATGTACAATCAGTCACTACTAAACTTTTCATGCGCTTTGCGCTCAAAAGAACTGAAGGGCCGCATGCATTAACATACTCGCCGAGAGGAAAACGCAGCTTGGAATGGCTTTATATCCTAAAGCTCCAGATGTCTGGATTTCACGCTGTTTGTCTATCTACAAGTAGTCCTACTTTTTTTGTTAGATGGTCCGTTTTGGCTGATTAGTATTAGGTGGTAACAGAATTGATGCCGGTTTTCCAAACTTTGAGTGTGGATTACTATAACTTTTTTACAGAAGTAGTCAATTCGTTTTTAACAAATTTGTTTTAAACGAGTACTCTGAAAAAGAGGTTTAAAAAACCTGCATTAGTTCTACTAATCCAATAATTTTGGCATCAGATCATATATTGTGGTGTCATATGATTTACATTCGAGTTCGCAGGCTCCGACGAAGACGAGAAAGCCGAAACTTGGTCAGTTGAATAAAAATTGATAACGTTTTGGTTGCTGCTCAAACAGACGACACAGTCCTACTATGCTGCGCTATGAACATATTAAACAGGAGCGAGAAGTTAAGCCACCTTTTTCAGCTTTTCTATGATCCCCTTATGATCGGCCGACTGTTTTTTTTTCTTCGAAGTCCTTTTTCTCTTTTCGAAGTTAATGAAAACTTTCCAAAGTTCACCTGATTATCTGACCGCACGATTTTGGTAAGGACAAAGATGTATGTATCGAGTCCTGGAATCTATGATGGACCACAGGTTGAAAGTTGAAGGTTATCGAAATATTTGGTATCTTAATAACTCATATGTTCATATCAAAAACATACTTAAATGTTGGGTTAAATAACTAGTACAACGTTCTTATATTTTCGTTGACTTCGAAAGTTGAAAAAAGACTAAAGAAAAAATGATTCTCCGCCGGGGACCATCGGCAATCATACAGAAAGAGTTGCAGAATGCGGCTTGTACAACTTTTTGCTCCTGTGCAAAATGTTTCTAGTAAATTATTGGGAATACTTATGGATGGATAGACAGTGTGAAGTCCTGGTATCTGAAGCTTTAGAATATGAAGCCTTTTTTAAGCTAGGTATCTATTCCCCGAAGGGGGTGTCAATGCATGTCCTAAGTGATAACCCGAGTTAGCGCAGGGTGTCGCACGCCACCCCTGGGAGCCGTTTTGAGTGGTCAGAGCGGGAAGGGGTCGTGAGTGAAGTGATAGTGATGTATACACGGATAGCGTGATGTTTGTTAACGATGGACATGCCCACTATGCAAAGTAGAAGCGTATTGATGTATTTCTGAATAACCTTAAAAAAGGCAAGAAAAAGCGCTACAGAATCATGCGTATTCTCGAGTCATTTGGACCTGATTAGCGTATTGCACGCCATGCGCGCTACCTGACGACTTGTGAGATTCAAAGCTCATTTTCGGTGATTTTTTCGTGTTCTCTTGTGTTTGACTAGTATGTGTTAGTTAGTAGAGCAAGTTTATAGAGTTCTCTATTCTAAAAAATGTTCTACTGATTATGGAGGTGCCGTCGATTGTCGCGCGTAGTATGCAAGTTATCATATTGACTTACAAATAACTACACTATATTGGTCCTACAATTGGTTGTACCAGTCGAGATCAAAAGATATGATTGATTGTGCAAAGACATGGAGAAATTTCAGGAGTTTCTAGGTTCAAGACTAGTTTCCAATGTTGCGATCTATGCTGAGACAACAGAGAGAAATGTAGACGCCCTGAGTGGATACGCAAGGCCATCATTGAAGGCAGCGTCCAGGCAAATCTGGACCTATAGGGACTTTCGTGGAAAGTGATTTTGGGGCCTTAGCTAAGGCACGGCCCAAGCCGCAGCGCAAATGACTCACCAGTGGCTGAGATATACGCCTCCAAACTGGAGCCAGGATCGTATTATCGGGACGATCCTGCATCGTGCTTGCATGCTTTCGCGCGAGGACCCACGCGAAGCTGTTGCGTCGCGCCATGAATCCATGCGAAATGCCATCTTGGGAGCCACTTGGAGGTCAATATCCCAGCCATTAGAGCACCATCTGAGCTGCGAGTTGGCAGTGTCTTAGTTAGGCCCCAAAATCACTGACCACGTGAGGTCCCCGTATGTCCAGATTTGCTTGGACACTGCCTTTAAGAATTCATTCTTGCATTACCTGCCAGTCAGTTCCGAAGTGGAATGTCTCATTCTCCCAAAATTTAACGACACTCTGAGTAATGAACACATCATCCACAGGTTTACCAGTGTGGCTGAAGCAAAAAAACTACGTTTGAATCAAAATATGCATTTAGAAATAAGGAGGAATTACTCAAAGAATGCAATTTCGTGGACTTTGGTTGGGGGAACAACATAGAATCTGTTCTCGGCGTAATAAAAGGCTTCCTTTTCCAAATTCTCGTTGTACTGAAGAGGTTCCGTTAATCATAAATTTTTGGAAAACTTTTCGAGAACGAACGTCTTTTGCTTAAAGTGTCGTTCAGGAAGACACGACTGACCGTAAAAAGCACAATGGTCTTCTCGATGAAGAAATCCAGCAATATAATCTGAGCCTCATGGGAGAGACGGAAGTAAAGCGGTGATAGTGCAGAAGACATTATAACAGGCAATAACTGCAAGTGATATGATTACCAGAAATTTTGATTAAAAAAATCAACTTACAACGGCTATCATAATACGCATCTGTAAACCATTTCTAAAGATAACAAGGGCAAAAAGGCTTAACATTAGTGCTGCTTCTATGACATGTTTGTCCAATAACAGTTGAGACAGAGAAACTACTAAATTTAGTTACTGGAACTCCCATTAATCATCATATTGTATTGTTCAATTAATACGTTGAAGTCTAATCCACTTATCATATTAATTCAAAATTATCAGCTATTAATAATGAAGTAATGCCCTTTCTGTGCACTCTTTCAACAATGAAGGGCAATTCTGCAGATAGGAGACCCTGCAAAGGATGGTAGTCTGTGTAGGCAGGAGCTGCTAACAATAAGTACTTTGCATCACTGCAGGAATGTTGGGTGTGTATAAAAACGCTATCCATGGATTGCTGTATTTCCATAACAGCGTTGGAACAATGGCGATATCGTCTAGTCGCTAAGATTTCGGTTGTACCGGGTATATGTTGAGAGGCACGATTTTGGTTGCCAGCTGGACATAGGATTGCACATATTTGGAATTTTCTGGCGTTCAGAGACATTCTAAATTTGTAGTTAAATACAACCAATCGTTGCTTAAACTCGTCAGCTTAATTATCTCGAAAAAAAAAGAAACATTAATGTTGGAGGTCAAATCATCTAAAAATGCAATTAGCAAAACCCTCGCAATTATTTCGCCTAATTTTGCAGCAAAAGACCTTACAAGGGAATGGTGAGAAGTCGAAGTGGCCAATCGAAACAAGCTGCATACCATTCGATGCAGCATAGAATGCTGACTTCAAATTTGTCTTCCAAATCTGCAGAGCGTCTTTCTAGGCAAAGTTATGAGCAGTTTTACTGCGAAAAAAATCGTACATCAAAATTGCGAAATCAGGCACATGATTAACCTTTTAGCTCACTTTTAGGTCCGAGCCATATGAAGTGACCTAGTTGCATGTTTTGGTCCAACACTGAGCCGAGAATGGCTTTGTACGACCAAGTTTGCACTTTACACGCACAATTTCTTAGCAAAATAATAATTTTTGAAGGCTTATAACTTCATCCACAAAAGCGCTCTGCAGATGAGGAAGACCGATTTAGAGTCAGCGTTTTATGCTGCATCTAATGATTTGCAGTTTGCTTGATTTGGCCACTTTGATTTCTGACCATTTCCTTGTTAGCAAATAGTAGCTTCGAACAGCTAATGAGCTAAATCATTTTGTCCGGATTTTGAAGATTTGCTTAGCAAGAAATGGACCTTTAAGTTGGTGACAGCCAGAGAAGTCGCGTCTCTTGATCGTCTTCCGGTTATACCTTGCGCGATTGCAAAAAATCGATTGCTGGCGACGTGATTGCGTTGTTCATCTATTAAGCGCAGATCGCATACGCACAGACGCAAAGTTTTTCTAAGTTATGCAAGGTGTGGAACCTTACTCACCTAAAGCACGCGTACGAAGAATTATGAACCTTCTTAGCAGTGCCTGCCAAGTCGCGCAACCCGTATTGCATATGGTATGAAGGAGCTAGCACAAGCAATCGACTTTCCCAATGTCTCTCAGATCACGTCAAAATCTCACATTCAGAACAATCATTGCTCAGAATCAGTTCTACTGTCGGACAAATCTCGCTGAGATTCACTTTTAACTCACTCGTCTGCAAAATTTTTGAAGGTCTTTGTATTCTACGATTGTCTTCATTTCAAATTCGTAGCACAAACGATCATCCATCGCCCGTCATCACTATGATTTCGATAGGAATATCAACCAATGTCTCATATCAAATCAGTTAGTTCAGCAAATCCCAAACTGTAAACTGTAGTGGTGGGAGTTTAGGACTCGCTGATCTTGAAATAAGTCTTTACATGTCTGTGGAGCAGATCAGAAGGTGTATCTAGGTTTTTGATAAGCATCGGGAGAACCGCTGTCTCTTACTCGCATTGCCCGAGAGTGCACGCAAATGGCCCAAATTCATTGCTAGTAGGTGGTAAATGGAAAGTATGAGTAGTGGATTGAGCGTCAACATATCAAGTGAGTCTACAACATGATGAATAATGAAGCGAGTTACAATCAGCAAGGACTGATTGTTCCACAAATGTTATTGAGCAAATATGTCATAGAACCATACTAAGCAGGCAATGATCAGAACTTGGCCCGGCCAAACCTAAACATGCTAAAGCGGAATCGTCTTCAAACGCTGATCACAACTACATGTTGATTATCTGCCAAGCGACTGCCTGGAAGGAGTTGTGAGCGTCTGGATGTGCCAAGTGTTCCGTGGCGCATGTTCCACTAAATATTTTTCAAAGACACTTATTCAGGTTTTCAATGAATGTGCTTTTCCTTTGTAATTGAATTGACCACAGTGACTCTAAATACGCGATATTAGACTGCCTTTAAAGAAAATATATTCGTCGGAACTCGGTAAATTTCTCATATTTGAACGCTCATAACTCTTTCCAGATAGTCATTTGGCAGGTAATGAACATGAACTTGAAATCAGTTTTTAAGACGTGTCCGAAGATATGCGGCTTGTTTGGAATGGCTGGGTTAAGGTTCTGACCATTTCCTCGTATGCTCTACCCTTGTTGTTTACGGATTATGTACAGATACAATTTAAGCGTAGTTGCTATGAGTGATCTTCAAGTTGAGCTAGCACAGTCCTAATGCAAAGCAAAACAAAGAGATTTGCTTCAGATACTTTGACTAAAATATTTTAGAAACTGTCCTACGATCATAAACCGAACTTTAAGCCAACAATTTTGTCTTCTCTCGTATTTTCATCTGTTACTCCCTAGGGGCCGGAAGAACAATGACTCTAGGCCAAACGAGACATCGAGAAAAAAGTATAATATCTTGAACCACTCTCATTTTGAATGGATTCTTGCTTTGATTGTGAGAAAACGTAAGTGACCATTGCCAGCCATAAACCCTTCAGACAAGTCGGCAGATTGATGCAAATTCATTGCCGCTATTCCCACAGAAAAGGATATATTTGTGTATCAGTTATCCAACTCGATGCATTATTTTTTGAATTCCTTCTTGCGTTGTTACTGTGTTTCTAAATGCATGATTACGAGCTTTTGAAAAAACCTAGAGCGCTGAGAGGTGACAGATATGTGGTTGTTATTCACACAATTGTGGGCAACTGAGAGCACTACAGCTGGTGCGTAGGGGTAAAAACATTGCAAATTAGTTTATTCGATCATGCACATATGCAAAAGTACGAACAACACTATATACATCAGAAACAAATTGCATCCATGAGGAAAAGAGTACCAGCAACATGAGACCATGCAAAAGTAAAAGGCTTGTGTAACTCACAACTAATAATCACCATCTATGGGATTATCCCTTCTTTGGAGTCGTCTCTGGTGCTCCTCTGATGTCTCAGTGCAGAAATGGCCCTCGTTGCTGAGTTACGAATTTGCTTACTCCAGGACAACAATCTATGGATGGCTTTATCTTCGATCAAGTGTTCTAAATAAAAAAGCTCACAAAGTTATTTTGAATAGGGACTACGCACTCACCTTTAGCGAAAACTTCGTTCAGCTTCCCTTTGCTTTCCATTGGAGATTGGTACTCCACCTGAAGCACGAACTTTTAGAGAACAGCGAAGACAGAGTTCTTCTTCCACCATTTTAAATTTGTGTAGAAACTTTACCTGCTCTGATCCGCTGTCAGCTCGAAGCAGAGGGTAATTGGCGATCCTCCAATATGGATATATATTAGGTTGGCACGAAAGTTCTTGCGTAATTCAAACAAAATTCAATAACTTTTCAAAGACTAAACCGAAATTCACAATCTTGTATGCGAAAAATATTAGAAGTCTTACGCTTCATGATTGATGTTTGAGCATAAGATTCCGTGAGCTGGACATCAAGAACAAAGCTCTCGAATATGGGGCTTCAAATTTTGCGATTTTGAGTTTGGTGCCAGAAAATCGCAGAGTGCCGCTAGCTAGCCGAAAAAAAATCTATAGAATTTGCTTGCACAACAAAAGTCCATATGTTACTTTGGAAGTCTTTGATCTTGCACGGTGAAGCAAAAACAAAAAATTCGTGAAATAAGTCATGTTGCGGAAAAAATCCCCTCATGTCCGCAGTTTTCCGGCGAAAACACTTTTTTACAATCGCGAAAACGCCGCAAGGCTCTAAATAGGCACTGTGTCTAATTTCTGGTTGCAAGCTGTGTTTCTGTGGAAAAGTTAGAGCGATAAGGGGATTTGTCCTGTGAAATGAGAATTTTCACAAATTTTTTATTTTCGCGTTTCCATGCGAGATCAAAGCCTGCTAAAACAACGTATGGACTTTAGCTGTGTAAGTAAATTCTACAGATTTTTTTCGGCTAGCTAGCGGCACTCTGCGATTTTCTGCCACCAAACTCAAAATCGCAAAATTTGAAGCGCCATATTCGAGAGCTTCGTTCTTGATGTCCAGCTCACGGAATCTTACGCTTGAACATCCATCATGAAGCGTAAGACTTCTAATATTTTTAGCATACAAGATTGTGAATTTAGGTTTAGTCTTTGAAAAGTCATTGAATTTTGTTTGAATTACGCAAGAACTTTCGTGCCAACCTAATACTTCGATCTTTATCGCTAATATGATCGTACATTAGACGATTCATTAAACGAGGTATTTGCCAAATTTCCATGCGGGTATTTCGCAAGAACTTTTTCTGTAAAAGCCTCTAGATGATGAGGGATTGGTTGGATACGGAGAAAAGAATGAGGTGAACATTCATATTACTATTAAAATTGGCACGCAAGAACAGGTTCCTTTTCTCACTAACGATACTATGAATAATGCACAGAAAGAAGTATCGCTCGGATCAGATGCAATGGTTGTTTTCTTCGACGCTATTCACTCTCAGAACCCTGACACACATCCACAGAAGAATACCTGGATGTATCTAAAGCCTTGGAAGCTTTTGCAACTCGCTCCTTTCCGTATCAATGCTTAAACTAGAAAATTTCAATCGAATTCCATAAACGACGATTTAATAATGTTAGTGCTGCTGCAATTTCGTCTGAGCGATCAAT